ACAATATTATTCTAATTAATAATTAAAATAATGATTAAAAAAACAATTAAAGAGACAGAAATGTGAAACACAAGTGTTTGGTTCAGTGCTAGGTTAGACTCTTCCTCTTTCTCACAGTACAACCACTTAACTTTCTTGAGGTTATTCTCCCTTTGTGCCTATTAAGTACATGATCATCTGTAAAGAAAAGCATAATCGTATGGTGATATAACTCATCTCAGTGGAGTTCTCACTAAAACCATAGTCCTCTAAATGGCTAACTGTATCACCTGCAGTCGTTTACCATCATCAGTAAGGAATATACGATTATCGAAGATGTTCAACATCTCAAAAGAATCTAGGATATGAAAAATCACATATCCTATAGAGAAGAAGATACATGATCCCATACACACTTATATACCATAGAGTGTAATCATCATGACCCCCACATATCGAATCTATTATAACAGAATTGTCAACATCCTACTATGATTTGGTGAGACTCTCGCTCTACTTATAGGTAAACACTTACGAGGTGTAATAATTCGCAATCTTTACATGTATGTATCTAGCTCACCTTACCTTTCTTTTACTCGTGGACATGGTAGTTCATATAGTAACAACACTCCTTACGAATAGGTTTTTAAACAAAGATAAATCGGTAACACACCTCTGATGCCCAATAACCTGGTACCAGATGCATATTAGAGTAGGATTTAGTGTACTTCACATTTGCATTATAATTATTATTGTTTTCGTTGGGGTGTGAGAATGATCTAAGTGTTATTATAATTGTCCTCCTGTTTACTTTCACCACTAATATTTTTAAAAATTATTCTCATTCCTTTGTTGTGGTTGTTGTGTGGCTTGTTATGCCTATGTTACTGATACAGGTAGCGAGAAGAAAATACCATGTTGAGTAATGATGGTACTTCCTTCTTTGTCAATTTCCATTTTGTTTAGTATCCTTTATGTCGCTCTGATATTTTAACACAAAGGATGGGACATTGTTTATTTTATTTGGATGATTGTTGAGTTGTTATTCTAAACTGGTGTTTTATTTGAGTAATTTTGTTTTATGAGACCATATGAAAGGTTGTTAAATGTTTTATATTTAATAGTGTTGATTTAGGGGTTTGACATGATTTCAAAATTCGGATTCGATCAAGTGAAGATCTTTGAAGAACGGGAGGTTTTGCAAAGGATTAGCGTGAGACGGTGAATCGATAAAAAATCTTGGGTGACAATAATTCACAATTTGGATTCGACTGAGTGAAGGCTTTGAAAAACATTTGTTCTTGCAAAGGAGTAGCGCGAGATGGTGGATCATATTAGTATTGTTGAGTGACTTGATCAAACTCATATCAAGGGAAGAGAAAGTTCTAGGATCAACATCAAACATGTGAACTGTCTAAACAAATCCTTGTGTTATCTCTCTCTCTCTCTCTCTCTATATATATATATATATCACTCTCTCTCTATCTCTTTATATATAATAAAAATAATTCCAACCTTTTCAAAATTTGATCGTCCTCAAGTATTTTTCAATGATGCGAATAAAACCTTGGTCAATGCCAAGTTCTTTTCAAAATAACCAAACCTTTTTCTCAAGGCAAAAATACTTGATCGATATCAAGTTCATTTTCAAAATAAACCAACCTAAGACCTTTCACCCAAGAGAGAATCTTTCCAACACTCGTCTGTGTTAACTCTCTCTTCCAATACTCGTTTGTGTTGGTCCATTCGCTTGTACGTGAACCTTTCCTAACCTAGTATAGTTCCTAGAGCTACGTATGTCTTAAGTTCCTCATTGCACCATGGGGATACCTAGGCCCGAGATCCAATATCTCGCCAGACAATCTTTTTCTTTTTCCTAACACTTGTCCGTGTTGACAACCTACAACACTTCCTTTAACACTCGTTGTGTTGAAGTAGACACTCGTTCGTGTCTCCCAAACCAAATTTTTTTAGTTCATCGAGAATTACGTAAGCTCTGAATTTCCCATAGCACTTGGGGAATACGTAAGCATAAGATGCAAAGTCTTGACGAACCCACTTTCAAAAAACCAAAAACATTTTTATTTCTTTCTCTTTTTTCTCGCATAATAATTATATAACAAGTAGACATCACGCTAACATTCAATCACTAAACTAACTAAATGGATACTGTTGAGTACGACAGATATGAGGGGTGCTAATACCTTCCCCTTACATAATCGACTCCCAAACCCTAATTTGGTTGCAATGACCATCTTATCCATTTCTCGTTTGTTTGTGGGTTTTATCGATTGTTTCCCTTTCCTTTTAGGAATGAATAAAATTTGGTGGCGACTCTGTTGTATTTCAAATGTGCGATGCACTCGAGTATTTTTTGCGTCATGACAGCTGGCGACTCTGCTGGGGAAAGCCTAAGCGAGTCTGCCCTAGTTTAGTTTTTTTTGTGATGTTGTTCGCTTTATTTACTTACTTCTTTATTTTCCTTTATCTTTATATGCTTTCTCATCTGTCGTGGTTGAAATTTTTTGTTATTAGGCATTTTGTGAGGAAAGCTCTACACCCGAGCTATGAGAAGAAACATAAGTTAGGAGGCGGTTGAGTAGTATTGACGTGTGAGACCTTGGACTCGTTGGGTCGGTGCAAGAATCCCACTCAGATGAGTTCCCTTGAAAGTATTATTGTATTACGATTAGTCATTTTGGTGGGTGTATTTTCAACCTCAATCTATGATTCTGAGGACCTTTTAGAACCCTAATCCAATGGTTATTAAGACCTACTCAAAGTAAGATCCTTTTGAACGTATTACAATCTTATGAATCGTCGTTATCATGGTAATATTTTCAACACAAGATATATGTCTTTGAAGGTGTGTCTAAAACCTTGGAGACCACAGTGGTATTGTACTAACCTGCAAGACTTAAGACTTGTTGGGTTGATGCCTAGACTACACCTAAAGTAGGTCCCGTTGAAGGTATTACCATCTTACAATTAGTCGTTCTAGATGTAATGTTTTCAACTAGGGTATGTGACTCTAGGATATGTAAAACCTTATAGTCACCCTATTGTGTGAATTATTATGTACCAAATATCCATAAACCTTTCCATCATAAGGAACCTGTACACGGACTAATTGAATTTTGTCGTACATTCCCTTCTCGCATTCATGTCTAGCATTCTTTGAATTTCATTTTAGCATTATGCATCTACACCCATCATCATGCATGCATTCTTACCACCAAAAAATTGAAATACTTGTACCTATTTCCATCCAAACAATTAACAAGGCAAGTTGATTCCATGATATCTGTTCGAGACGTGCAATGTTTTGCAAAGAAAGATGGAAAACCTTGAACAAGGACATGAGAAGATGAGAGGAAATATCAGTGAGTTCCAAGGATTCATATCCAAGCGTACAAAGATGCTTCAACAAGTGCCGACTATCAGAGAGAAATAGCCTTAACAAACTATGATATCTCAAATTTCTGGTTTCACTCTAGAGCCACCACAGACTCAGAGGGTGAATACTTCGTGCCTAATATATGGTTTACCTCCCAACTACTCTCCACCATTTGAAACCACTCCTGAAATAGAGCCTTCCACTCAGTAGGTTGTGAAGATGCCAATAATCACTAAGCAGTAAACAATTGTCCACACTATGGCTCAGACTCCTTTAAACAATTATCCCTTTATGTACCATGTTGGTGCCTCCCAAAATGGTGATCAAGAGCATACTAATGATGTGGAGGAAGTGAAAGATAAATACAATGCCACTGAGAAGAGCTTGAAGGTTGTGGAGGGAAGTGACATTTTTGGCTTTGATACCATGAACTTATGCTTGGTCTCTGACTTATATGTTTTCATAAAGTTCAAAGTCCCTGAATTCGAGAAATACAAGGGGCATACTTGTCCAAAGGATCATTTGACTATGTACTTCTGCAAAATGGTTGCCCATGCAAACAATGATAAGTTGTTGATTCATTACTTCTGGGATAGTCTAACTGGAGCTTATTTGAAATGGTACATGAGCTTGAAGAGAGACCACATCCATTTTTGGATAGACTTTGCTGAAGCTTTCCTCAAACAGTACAATTACAACATGGATATGGCTCCTGACTGTAGGAAACTACATACCATGACCATCAAGGACAAAAACATTCAAACAGTATGCTCAACGCTAGATAGATTTAGATGCTCAGGTTGAACCTCCTTTGGCTGAGAAGGAGCTCACAGGAATGTTCATGGACACTCTACAACCAGTCTTTTATGAGAAGATGGTTAGAAGCATATCTTTAAGCTTTGCTGAGTTAGTCACCATTGGGGCACAAATTGAGAGGGCATGAAGAACAGAAATATTTCCAGTGCTGCTAGATCACCTGTTGTATCCCTTTTTTTTTACCCTTACTTTTTCATCTGATGCATATCTTTCGCTTTTTGAAAAGTCGGCCATCTTGCATGTTTTGTGTTTTAATTCATCTTTTTCCTTTTTTATCTCAAAAAAAAAATCACAAAAATATATTTAACATCATTTTACTTTATTCGCAATTTTCATTTCTTTATTAAAAAAAATTAGAAAAAAATTAAAGTATTTGTTAGTTTCTTTTAAATCTACATTTTGTATCACTTTTATTCAAAAAATCCAAAAAATTTATATCATTTGTATTTTTATTTTTTATTTGTATTTTGATTCATTTTTAGTCAAATTCTATGGTCAAATTTCTCTTTATTTCAAAATCTAAATATATAGTTCATTTTTCATTTATTTTTTATTCAATAGTTTTTCTTTTTTTTTGGTTTACATTTTAATATTAATTCAATTTGAAATATCTTTTAAGTTGAATCATTATTGAAATTAAAATCATTTTTTGTCTCTTTTATTTAAATTTTTATTTTAGTTTATTTTTGATGCTACTAACAATTTTTTTTTAGTATTATTATTATTATTATTATATATTATTTTTTATGTAAAAAATTATAAAATAGAAAATCAAGCTTGGGATACACGGTTCACATACAAAACATTCATGCAAAGTCGCTATCTCGGTACAGTAGTTTTTTCACCAATTTGTAGAAACAGAATGTCATCACCACTCCATTTGCACTACTGTTTTGCCAAAATTCTCACAAGAAAAACTTAGCAAACAAGTTTTAATCTTATCCCTTGAACTCCATTTGCACAGCCTGCAAATTAAAAGCCATACATCACAACATCCAAGCTTGCAACCATTTCTAAAACGCGCCACAGCAATTGGCAGGTTCGTATATCTCATAAGAAGAAATTGAAGAAGAAGAGAAAACTGAAAGAAAGAGAGGAAGAGTTTGAAAGTTGTACCTGAACTTTTCCGGAGAATTTCTTGTCTCCGTCGGTAATTTCCTCTATTTTATTCTGAATTTGAGATGTTGTGATTACCATAAATCTTCTCTCGCTTTGAATTGCTGCTTCTCAGGCTTGATTGTTGTGATTTCGTTTTTCTTTTCAAGAATTTCGTTGTCGTTGTTTTGTTTGTTTCAGAATTATTGAATCGCGAAAACAGAGGAAGATTGGAACAGAGGAAAGTGTAGGAGCGGTGTTGAGGAAGGAAAGAGATGGTCATTTGCTTCTAATTGCAAGCCCTTTTCAATTATACACCCTTTGTTTCTATAATTAATTTAGTTTTGCTTCTTTATTTATTTTCTTAATTTTGTGTTTTCTTTGATATTTGTTTAGTTAACAATTTTAGTTTATTTTTGTCGCATTTCCTTTCTTTCATATTTGATTCTCTTTGTCTCTTAAAATCAAAAATTTTATGGTCTTTTTGTCATTAATTATTTTCTTAGATTTATTTTCTTGTGAATTTTTGAGTGCTTAGATGTTCATCTTATTTTGCTTGCTCGATTAAATCTAAGGAAAGAGATTGTATTTGTTGACTATTTTGTCATGTTTTAGTATTGAATTGTATGTTTGTTGTTTCCTTTGACCATCTTTGTTTTTAGTTCTAAAACTTTACTATTTTCTAACTTGAATATTTTTTTCAATAAAAACCTTGATCTTTGTCAAGTGCATTTACAAACTTTCTTTTCTCATATTTACAATCTTTTTGCAAACAATCACTTTAACCAAAAACACAGATATTACAAGAGGTTCCTGTAGAGTAATACAGATGTTTTGGGTGCTAATACTTTTCCTTTGCATAACTAACTTTTGTATCTTAGATCTCTTTATTGCATTGATTTTGCTTTACTTTTAGTCTTGCTTCTTACTTTACATATATATTTTGGATTTTATTCGCTCTTTTCTCATTCCCTTAGAAATAATAAAGTGTGGTGGAGACTGTATGAGTTAAGCTATCAATGGCTTGGTCTCAATTTTTCACCACCACATCACTCCACAATAAAAATTCAAATAAATTCCTTGGTAACTTCTAGAAGAAGAAAGAGGGTGAAACCAATGTTGTCACAACTAGTGGTGGAGGATTTCAGATCCCACAACCCTACCAGCCCTCAACTTATTAGCAACCACCGTTCATGCCATACTATCAATATCCATATGTGGCAGTTGTGCAGTATCAACAATCATTTCATATGCCTCCATACCAGCAACCATGGGCGGCTCCTCCTCAGAATGCTCCACAAAATTCTTCACATAATCCTCCTCAAAATCAACGACAAAATCAACAAAGGCAAAAGAAGCCGAAAAGAAATTTGACCTGGTACGCATGCCATACATCCAGATAATCCCCTAACTGATCCAAAAGGTTTTTGTAACACCAACCAAAGCCACTACATGTCTCTACAACATACCCGACTAGTTATGATGAGAACGCTCGATGTGATTATCATGCTGGTTCTCCCTGACATATAGTAGAAAACTGTATAGATTTTAAGCATAGAGTGTAGGACTTCTTGGAGACAAAGGAAATATCCTTCACGCCTCAAGGCCCTCACGTCCAGAATAATCATATGCCACAACATGTCGATTTGTCTATCAATGCCATTGAGAAACCAATGGGATATGAGTTGATCAACTGAGCAAGGGATCAAGCATGTGAGCGTCATCTCAACTTTTTTAATCTTCAAGTTGCCTTTATCATCTCATTTTGCAAATTTTCTTGTTTGTTATACGTTATTTTGCATTTGAACTTTATTATTTTTAGTCATAATTTTAATGAAATGAGCATTGTATCTTTTGAATCAAACATACTATGTTCACTCGTTCTTATTTATTTTTATCAAACAAAAAAATTAAATAAAAAAACCACGATGCTTTTATTTTCACTTTCTTTATCAGCTTTCTGTTTGAGCAAAGATTGGAGTGAGAATGATGAAAAACAAATACCCAAATTTCAGCAATATGCTTTCGAATAAAACTTTGCTGATGGTGTACATGCATTGCTTCAAATTCCCAAACACCAAAGATATAAGGAAGATAATCCCTCGTTAACCCCTTGGAGCCTAGAAGTTGGTGTTTTTCTTTCTGCGTGAAAATAAAAGCCTTAATCTTAACCCGGGGCGGGGTAGTTATTCTATTAAAATGAATAATGCATTCAATTTCCAAGATAATCCTTTTATCTACATGGATCATTCCAGGTACCTTCTAATCAAAAGTTTAACTGCATCTTCTCTTTGTGCATAATTTCGAAGAATTAGTAAAAATCCAAAGCTTATAGAAGTTGTTTTTCTTGAGCCACCAATATGACAGTCACAACTCTCAGATCAAAGGAACAAATGTCATGCAAGTTTTTCAAAAATAAAAAAAAGAATCAAAGAAAATTCCGATAAGTCGAGAATGTCAAACCACTTAGGCAAAAATTAGGGCATCTCGTTGGACTAAAAACTCAAAAGAAACAGTGCAGGCAAAAATTAGGGATATAAAAAACAAAAAAAAATCAAATAAAAAAGAAACATCACTGAAGATCCTTGACAAACTGAAAAGCAAGAACAAGCTTGTGTAACTTCCAAAGAAGAATAAATTATTGCCACCTCACAGATCATTGGTTATCAAACCATCACACTATTGCATGCAAATCCTCTTGGAAGTTGAAAGTGTGTGTTAATTAACTGAATGTAGAACTGGAGAACATCACGAAGGAGGTGGATTAAAATCAAAATCTGAGCCTTATATCCTTTGTTTCATAAATTGTGAACCATACAATTGATCGGTCTGTTTATAGAGTTTAAAATCTAACTGCAAGTGCACATCCTATCAAAGTAATATAAAGGATTGTCGAACCACAGAGACCATTCGTCAATCTGTCAACTTTATTGTTAAGTTGCTTATCTAAGGAGGATAAATTTAGTTGAGGGAGTATAATGCAGAGGAAATAAATAGACAAAATAAATTCAGACAAAAGACGGGCTAGAATGTAAATCACATTGGTCAAATAACATTTCAATTTGTATTTAATAGAACTACTCATGGGGCAATATTTTCTGCTCTTGTAAAGGAACAATGGACGGGAACTTGTCGCTTTCGCTGACCAAGAATCGAGTTTACTCTCTAATCAAATCCTTATATTGTCACTTATAAAAGGGCGCTTCAAGCGTTAAAGCAGCAAACCTATTTTTAAGAAATAAGTTTCTTAACTTAGTAAAAAAGTGATTTCAACTCGGAATGATTGACATAAAGAGATTCTTGGCTTTCGCTCGAGAATCAGATTGTAAACCTATAAACGCGTCCGAAAATAGTTTCAAAATTGTTTTCTAAAAGTGTCAAAGATCCCTAATTAACAAGTCAAAACACTTTCACCCTTTTTGACCAATTAAAAACTAACCAAGTTTAATCTTTGAAATGGACGGATTTCGATCTTATCCAAAAATATTAAGTACGGAAAACTTGTGTTAAAAGTTAAAACAACCCCTAAAGTGTTTTTACTGATACGGTGTTGAAATGCTATCGTGACAATGATCCTTAAATTCCAACCTTAAAATATTTAGCCAGACATGGAAATAAAAGCAAGCATATTAAAGTTGATTGAAATAAACATAGTAATAAAGGCAAGGCAAGGAAATAAAATAAGAAATGCAAGTGCAAGAAAAAGCGATTGAATAAAATAAAGAACTTAAATAGAAACCTGCTCCAAAGCAGAGTCTTTAAATCTTGGTACAAATGGAAAGTAGATGCTTGAAGTAAAATGGCGGCAAGATTGTAAATAAAAGAAATGCTCCAACCTAATCAAGACTATGGTGCAATAATCTTCTGATGTGGCGAATTATTGCTTTTACACAAGTGAGTATAGGCTTAGTGTTGCAATACTAAGTTAGATCATGGAAAATGAAATGAAAACTACTATTTATAGAATTTCTCCGAGTTATGCTTTGACAGAAATTCCCCCCAACTCCTTTTGGGTGGGAAGGAGCTTATCAAAGACCGCGGGCGCCGAGGCCCCTCTGCGGGCGCTGAATGTGCTGATAGAGAGATCGTGGGGGACGTGGCAGTTATCCCCTGGGTGGAGTGGGACACGTCAAGGCGCCCCCTATAGTGGCCGCTGAGTTGAACGCCATGTGAAGGATTTCACTGAAAATCTCGATTTTTTGGCTTTTTTGCTTAGTTTCTTCAAGAAGAGCTCCAAATGGGCATGTTGCCTGAAAACAAGACAAATACAAGAATAACGCAAGAAAATAGTACTAAAAATTATGAAAAACATGTGTTATTTGAGTCATATATGAAGTACGATTATGTGTTATCAAATTCTCCCACACTTAACTCTTTTCTTGTCCTCAAGCAAAAACTCTCAAAAGTAGATGAAAAGAAGAATAATATTTACAAGATTTTGAGCTAAAAGGGCTTCTAAGTTCAAGTAAGGATGTGCTGATAGGTACTAACTGGTCGAACCAAGGATATCGTGATACACTTTTTGCAAAAAAAAATGCGGGCATAAACTTTATTCCTATAAAAACACATCCATGTTAGTCCATTATGCCCAAGCTTCCTTATTTTGTAAGGTCCTTTTTCATTCTGGCGCAATCACATTAAGCCCGTTATCTGTACCTACTCGTAGCAGAGTGACCGGTTAGTGACTCTGATATCAAGCATGGGTTTCTGGTATATGAATAGGTATAACCCCTTTATTTACTAAATTGTGGTTGTAGGGGATCAGAACGTAATTCACCCTACCGAGTTCAGCACCAGAAACCCTTTAACCAACCAACAATAGGCATAAACCTATTATTTTCTTTTTTTCTCTTTTTAAAAATATTTTACAACAATTTTTAGTTAAGTGACTGTGTGAGAGTCACCCAACCCGGAGTTGTATTTTCAGTTAAGAACAGAAACACAGATCATTCACTTATTTTCATCGGTCCCCTCCGTAGAGCATGCTTAGGCCAGAGCCGACTGCTAAGATAAACTACTAAAAGAACTTTGTTACAATAACATAAAGCTACAGTATAGGGGGTAACGGGATCAGTTCTTATATTTACAAAGTTTATGGTGCTAAAACGATATCGATTTTTCAAAAAGAATTCCCAAGTCAAACACATCCTACCCTGAACCTGTCTTATAGCTCAAATTTTTTTTAAAAACACATTGTTTTCTTTGGCATAAAAAGCATTGTTGGGTAAGGCTAAAAGTGGGGAAATAAGGATACACAACGCAAAAAACGCAAAGGACTCATCAAGCACATGAATTTTATTAAAAATAAAACAAACAAAACAACTAAAGTATTAGAAA